CGGACCAGGGACTAGGGAACGAGAAAGAGACGCTGCAACGCGGAAAGGGCAGCCTGTTGGCAGCGCAGCACGTTTTGGTCGTCGAAGACTTCGGTGGTTGTCGCGCGCGGCGCGCGCGTGGCCTTCGTCGCAGGAGCGGCATTGAGCGGGCTTGCCTGGTCTATCGTCGATGCGGAGGGCGCGGGTCCAATCGACATCACACAATGCAAGTTACTACGGTACCTATCGAGAGGCAAGAACTGCTGGGCGGACGAGAAGGGGGGGGGGCGACGTCGATGGATGATGCGTTCAGGGAATGGAGGATTAATTGGAGTGCTGATGAGATAAGGGTGAGAAGATTGAAGTGGTACCAGCAATGGGCCTTATTCCTAAATGACCACGAAGCCGCCCATGCAGTCTCTGGCACCTCCAAGAGCGACCAGAGCATGGGCCGGGGGGGGGGGGCGCAGGCGAGGGGGGCCACTCGGCGAGAGCAGGCTACGTCATGGGGAAAGCAGCACCTGGATGACATGCGGCGCCTAGCGAAGCGCGAGCCCGAGTTTCATGACTGGCAGGAGAAAGCAATCTTGAGACACGAACATGTTCGCAACGGTAGCGAAGAGCATGGGAAGTGGATGCGCACGGGCCCGACGGCGTTAAACGGCGCTGATAGAGAGCGGAAGAATAGCCGACCACAGCCCGAACCACTGGAGGTGGAGAGGGGCAACCCAGCTGAACTCGGAACAAATTCTGGTGCGATTTCAGGACCGTACTTCCCGAGGGCGTCGGAGTAGATTTCGAATGCAGGTTTCGACCAGCAGCGGCCCTGGTAGCGCGCGGCCGAACGAAACGCAAGGTAGAGTCATTCATCCCCAAGCTAGTAGGCACAAACCAATGTCCATGGTGCAGATCGAACTGGCAATCGATCATGCAGCGCGAGCGGCAAAGGGGGCGGCATTTGCTCCTCGAACCGAGCGAGTGCGAGTCGACCTGCAGCGTTTGCCAGCATCAAGCATCTAGCTTCGAATATTCCCAACCGCGCGTCGCCTGTCGCCACCCAAGCCCCGCGCGCAGTTCGCCATGTTTGAGACGACGCAGTGGGCGGCGCAGCGTAAGAGGGGGGCGACTGAGAAGGATGTTAGACATGGGGGCCATGGGGGGGCGGCGGGGGCCCAGGAGGCGCATGGGGGGAGCAGCGCGCGGACAGAAGCACGCGAGGGCAGACGACGTAGCCGCCGCGCCCGAACTGCAGCAAGGTTTGGTTGCGGCACAGAAGCTGGTCCTCAGGGCAGCAGTAGAGCAGCGCTACATGGCCAACGTTCTGGCGGAGTTTGGGCTCTCCCCGCCGCGAACCCGGCGGCAAAGGTGGGTTTCGCATCGAGGCGGGCGTGCCACCAGGCAGTGGAAGAGTTTGGCGAGGGGTGCAAGATGGGCCCTCCGCGCGCACAGATCGCGGCAGGGCCGGCTCAAGCAATTCACCTGCGAGGGCGGGAGGGAAGAGGGCGCGGCAACGAAGGCGCCGCAGGAGTGGGCGGAAGCAGGGGGCCCCAAGGAGCGCGGGATAGCACGCGTAAGCGAGTTGTTCAATAGGTTCAGAACGAAGGAGTGCTACCGCCCGGAAGGGGTGCCAGAGGTGGAGCGCAAGGTACAACTGCAGCTCTCGCTCAACATGGACCCACCACTTGGCCACGGGCCCCCCAGCGCAGATGCCTACGATGGACATGGGGAGCCCCCAGGCCGCGTTCATCCACGGCCTTGTCAAATCGGGGGGGGGGCGGGGGGGCAAGCCGACGGGGGCGGGGCCCAGGACAGAACTAGAGCGGGCAGTGGAGCGCCAGATGAAGAATGTCCGAAGGGTGCGATGACGTTGGCGCGGGCCCTCGCCCGTGACCCTCGCGAGCTCGCCATCTTGTATGCGATGAGAAACAACGGGGTGGAGAGGGCGAAGCGGCGTGTCAGGGCAGTAGAATTTGCGCGGCACCAAATGCCCTCGGCATTACACTATCATTCCATGTCTAGACAATAATCTTCTGAGATGCATGACGGTATCTCGTGCGCAGATATCGATGGGGGGTATCCTATGCGTTTGTCCCTGGAGGCCGCCCTCATCGAGTAGCAGCGCCGAAAGCTACATAGCGTGCCGGGCTGATTGCAGAGCCCGAGACGGCCTCATCTAGCAGCTACCTGCTCCGAGCGTTGCGTCCTCGGTTCCGACTTATCCGATCCGCTCGAAGGTTGCGCCGCCACGTATGAGGGCTTCTACACCAATCGACGGGGTCAGCAGCGCCGTGCGCAGGCGGGGACAGCCTTTCGTCGGCATCATTCGGGTATGATAGGCGAGCTCAGCCGCGCGGCCAGCCAGCTCGGATTTCCTGAGTTACAGCGCGAGCAGCTGAACACACTCGCGCAGGGAGAGGCTCGAGGCAGTCCGCATCACCACCAGCCGCAACCTTGACAGCCAGATTAATTTCACGACTGGCCAGTGCGATAAAATGTGAGATGATACGTGTCCTTGACGGGGTTCCCACGAGCGCGACGAGGTTCGACTACGACGTGTCACAGCCGAGCGGATGGCAGAAGCAGCAAGGACGGGAGCAGGAGTGAGCAGCGCAGCGCGGCCCGTGGCTGCTGGGGGTGGCGCCCCTGTACCTGCGACGACATCTGGCTTAATGATCTCCCCTTCCCCTCCATCCTGAACAGACAAGCGCGCCGCGCGCACCGGTATTGTTTGTTGTGATTGGCCTCCCCTCCCCTCTTCCTCTCGCGGTTGTGAGCCGTCGTGGTCGTTGTCTTCCTCTCCCCCCTCGATCCGTTCGAATTCGGCATGGCGTAGCAGCGACAGAGGCGGGGTTCGCCCAATGAGGAGGTAACCCCAATTCCCCAAGCAGCCAGGGTGCAAGATTGCCCAGGGAGCCCCCGCCGAAGCGGCTTCGGTTGCAGCGAAAGGCTGCGCCGAGCGCCGCAAGCAGCGGGCGGGGAGAACGGCGGGGGCTCCATCCTTGTAGACTTCCATATCTTCCCGAGGGGCCGCGCGAGCTTGTCGAGAGTTGAGCTCGGCTTCCCGCCGCTGCACCGCCACCACCACCACCTCCTCCTCCTCCTCCTCCTCCTCCTCCTCCTCCTCCTCCTCCTCCTCCTCCTCCTCCTCCTCCTCCTCCTCCCTCCTCCTCCTCCTCCTCCTCCTCCTCCTCCTCCTCTCCCCCCTCCTCATCCTCCTCCTCCTCCTCCTCCTCCTCCTCCTCCTCCTCCTCCTCTCCTCCTCCTCCTCCTCCTCCTCTCATCCCCCCTTCCTCCCTCCTCCTCCTCCGCCTCCCCCCCCTTCCTTTCCTCCCTCCCTCCCTCCTCCTCCCTCCCCCCTTTTCCCTCGTCCTTCCTCCTCCTCGCCCTCCTGCCCCAATCCTTTTATAGACATCTCCTCCTTGTCGCGCCCCGAGGCCAATCGAAAGGGCTGGCTGGGCGCGTCGCTTCAGGTTTCTTCGATACTTCAAAATTGGCAACAGCTTCGCAGATGGAAGGCGGGTCGCTTCCAAAATCTAGCTGCCGCCATAGCGCCGCGCGCATTCGTTGTGAATTGTTGCAAGAGCTTCGGGATCGAGGGCGGGCCGTTTTCAAAATGCGGTTTTCGCCTCAGCGCCGCGCGCATTCGTTTTGAATTACACCTGAGAAAGAAAAACAACCACTGGATGGTTTGAGACTGAGTGATATGGATATCGAGATCGATGGTGATATCGATCATGAGACCGACCGTGTGACCGAATGTGAGCACAATAGGAGTTCGATCGTGGGACCGATTATGAAGTATATTCAGTGGGATCGGTCGTGCGATCTATAGTGAGATCGTTTGTGAGATCGATCGTAAAATCGATTGAGGGACCGACAGCGAGGTCGATTCAGCGAAATCGACAGAGTGGTGGGTAATGATATCGGTGGTGAGACCGATCGATCCACCGCCCAGGGAAATCGGCCCAGAACCAGCAAACGGGAACATGGGAACCCAGAGCTGGAAACCCGAAGGCCCGGCCGCCCACCAAAAACGACCAGGCATGTTCGCATGATTTTCAACATCCGCTCGGACCTTTTTCAGTGCAAGCACTGATTGACGAACATTTGCAAGAGTTTCACACATTGAGGGCGGGCCGATCTCAAAATGTGGATCTCGCCTTAGCGCCGCGCGCATTCTCTTTCGACATTTGCAAGAGCTTCACGGATTGAGGGCGGGTCGTTTTCAAAGTGTGGTTCTCGCCTTAGCGCCGCGCGCATTCTTTTTAGACATGTGCAAGAGTTTCACGGATTGAGGACGGGTCGTTTTCAACATGTGGCTCTCGCCATACTGCCGCGGACATTCGTTTTAGACATTATCAAGAGTTTCACGGGTGGCGGGCGGGTCGTTTTCAACATGTGGTTCCCGCCTCAGCGCCACGCTCATTTGGTTTTAAAACTTGCGAAGAGTTTCGCGGATTCTTAAGGTCAACCTGCTAAAAATTACCAGGATGGTTTTCGCTGAGGAGATCGACCGGGATCCCGGGAGCCCAGGAACCCAGAGCCCACCGAAATCGGCCCCGAACCAATAATTGGAAATCCGGGAGCCCAGAACCGGGAACTTGGTAACCCAGCCTGCTACCAAAATTGGCTGAAACATTTCGCCAAATTTTTCAATTTCCGCTAGGAGCCCTTCCGTGCAAGCACTGATTGGGGAGTTATGTTTTGGACGGGCTCTGAGTTGTCAGGGCGCAACAGTATCGTTGATTCGCGGCGTTGAAGTCACAGGAACCGTGTTCTGGCAGGATTCTGGATCATCAAACGCAGCAGTCATGTTGATTCGTGGCGCCGGATTCCTGAGAATGCAAACGGCTCTCTCCCAACGAGGCAATTCCCTCAGTGGAAATGAACCCTTGTATGGGGCCTGTCAAGAGGGAGTTTGGAGGAAGGGTTTATTCCAATGTCGTTGGTGAATCTTCCTCCTCCTCCTCCCTCTCCTCCCTCCTCCCTCCTCCCTTTCCCTCCTCCCCGCTGCCGCTGAGGCCGGCTTCGCCGCTGAAGCAGCACGCCGGCCGCCTGCTCGGGGCGGCCCCCGACCACGCAGAGCCGGAGGCGGTCAGCGGCCCCGCCAGGGAGCCAGCCAGCGCGCGTCGGGAGCACGGCCTCCTCCCCCCCCCCCGCCTCTTCCTCCTCCTCCCCCCCTCCCTCCTTCCTCCATCTCTCGTCCTCCTGCTCCTTTTCCTCCTCCTCCTCCTCCTCCCCGTTGTCCGTAGCCATTTTGGCTCAAGTTCGAAACGTGTGTCCCTGGCGTTTCGAATTTGGACGCTGCCGAGGGGTGGGCCAAGCGTCCAGGTCGAGGTTCGGCCTCCCATTCCAGTCGTTCGTCAGAGCACTCGGCATTTCTGCTTCCACTCGTTCCTTCCTGCTCTTCTGCTTATGACGTCCGCTGGTCATCCATCCAGTGAGCAGTTAGTGACGGTCCTCGAGTCCCTGACCAATGAGATGAACGGTATGAGGGCCAACGTCGCGGACGTCAAGATGCGCCTCATCGCCGCCGAGGAGCTAGATGTCAAGACCACCGAGCTTGAGCTGTCTATGCAGGCCAGCGTCGCGGAGGCCAACGCCGCCCAAAAATAGATGGCCATCGCCTTCGACGTCCGCCTGTCCAGGCTCAAGCAGGACAAATTTCGAAGCTGAGCTGTTCGCTCCAGACGGCGAGTCCCCGTCCATCATGGGCCCCCAGCCGTCATCGCTTGCCAAGCAGATGCAGGAGAATATCAACAGCCTGGAGAAGACCCTCCGCGAGCTCTCCCGCCCGCCATCGGTTGACAGTTCCACAGGTGCGCCTTCAGCAAAATCCAGGAGGACCACGACCGGCTCAGCTGCTGGCTCGTTCGAGGTTCCCGTCTTCGATTTCGCTCGCGACAACGTCGACGAGAAGCGCCAGTGGATCAGTAGTCTTCTTCGCACAGCTACCGAACCCAATCGTCGTACCGTCTTTGACCAATTGAAAGAGAGGATCCCGACTCACTTGGGCGCGGTCATCTTTGGCCACTTTCACAAAGTGTCGCAGACCTTCTCCGTCACCTTCGACAGTGACGCCCATGCCAAAGAATTTCACGCCTGGTTCCTCGCCCATCCTATCAACTGATCCGGCTAACGCAACAAATCTGTCCATGCTCTACGTTGCCGGCAGAAGAACCGAGTGCCCAGCGCGTTGTGGCCCTACGTGCGCCAGCACCCGGATAATGCGAACATGTGGAGCCCAGACATCAAGCTCGGCACCAACCCCTTCAAGGGGGCATCAGCATCACGACGACGAGCGGTCATTGGAATCTCTACAAGCTCTGCGATGCGCCGCGCGGCCAGCACGAGGTGGATCCGATCCAGTCGCAGATCGACGAGTGGAAGATCACGCCCGCCATCGCCAATTGGATTTTCGAGGCTGCTCAGAGCGCGTCTGAGGCCGCCGCTCTGTGAAAGGCCGCTCGCCAAGCATCGCGTGGCGAGAGCCGCTCTTTCCAGTGCCCTGCCGCCCCTGCCGCCAGATTTTGCCGCGGCTCTTTCAGGCTCACCTTTCCCCTCTCAATCGTCCAGCCACGTGCCGGGGTTGCCCCGAGACACGCCCTCAGGAAGATGCGGCTCGCAAGGAGGAGTCTTCCTCAAAATTAATCGTCTAGCCTCCGCTCTTATTCGCTCAGAGACCAGCCGCATTCACCACGGGGCCCTAGCGGGCCCCCGCTGTCTTTTCCAGCCCCCCTCTCTGACGGCCGCGGCTTGAAGACATCGGCATGGAATTGTCACAATTTGTTCGGTGCCGTTTCTGGCAACCGCGACGTTCACCGGAAAACCGGTGGCCGTCTCTCTCAATGAACAAGAACTAGCAACATCAAATGTCTTCAGGAGACCACGGCCACGAAGGTGACAGCGAATCGTGAGGTGAACGCTGATGGAGTAGCTATCATGACGGGGAGGTCTCTGCTGGCTGAGCTCGCTGCCGAACCGCCGCGCGTTCTCGTTCCAGGCCGCCTTCTCGCGCTCTTGAAGGTCCGACGCACTTCAGCTCATGATCCCCAACCTGCATCTCGAGCCTGCCCACCGCCAGCGCGAAAAGATTCACGTGCTGGCCCGGCGCCCCGACTTCCTTAAGACGCCCCAGGGTATATTTTCTTTGTGGGGTATATGAATAATTGCTGCGTGCTAGGGAAAGGGAGTCAAAGGGTTTGACTTGGCCATCGATCAAAACTCGGCCGATGTTTTTGCCGCTAGGCTCTGGGTCCCCATGTACGGATCACGGAGTGCGTTAGGGAGACCCCGAACCGCCGCGCCACCAGGGGCGGACATATCATCAGCGTTTCAAGGCTTGCTAGGATGTGTACCTATGCGTTCACAGGCGATCTCTGGGACTTGAAACCGACGTCTGGGGCGGCCTGGAACATGTGCACGACCAGCTTGTCAGGCCCCATGCCGCTACGCTGGTTCCGGGCAAACTGTGCTGTCCAGCGGAAGGGGGCGAGGAGGGGAGAAGCAGGCAGACGACGACGAACGCCCAGGCGGGAGGCCAAGGCCGGCGGGGCGGGCGGGCAGGCAGAAGACGGGCCAGGCGGAGACAGCAGGCAGGGAACAGGAGAAAAGGAAAGGGAGGGAATCAACGAGCAGAAGCGAAGGGAGGGGGAGGAGGGGGAGGAGGAGGAGGAGGAGGAGGAGGACAGGGAGGAGGGAAAGCAGCGACCGCAAGCAGACAGGCCGGGCCAGGGGCCGGGAGAGAAGAGCCACCCTCGACGAGGCTACGGACCCTGCGGCGGCGACCTGGGCGGGTTGGCCGCCCCAGCCCAGCGCGATGCGGCTTGGTGGGAATTGCCCCTTGCGGGATCCATCCACCGCCCCGCCGAGGAAGGGCCGGACGGCGCGTGGGAGGGTCGCCGGCGCGACGTTGGCGAGACGCTCCGAAACCCATGTTCCCAGAAGGCCTTGTGGGAACCCGATTCATACGGCCTCCGCCCCCCTACACAACAATTTTCCTCGAAGGCCTTTCGGCATACAGATTGGCATGCGTGTATTGTGGTCCACTACTTCACTGGGGCAGTGAATTCGTCAATGACTTGGGCGTGCTAGAACCTGAACGCGCGCGAAGCGCGCGGGGTGTTTCCATATATATATATATATATATATATATATATATATATATATAGCTATATGTTGTATACATGGATTCGTATTGTTTTTCAAGAGTGACAGTGCCGCGCCGTATCTATTTGATCCAATTTTGGTCAGAACGATTGTTGGCTGTGCTCGCGGCGCGAAAAAGATCCATGAGACTGGCCGAAGCAATGAACAACGGGATGGGGATAGTGGGAAGCCGTAGCGATAGGAAGTAAAATGACGAAGAGTAGGATGGATACCAACGACAGGCGAAATTTTGGAGAGAATTGGGTCGGAACAGGGAACCGTAGGATGGGGAGAGCAAAGAGGAGGAGGAGGAGGAGGAGGAGGAGGAGGAGGAGGAGGAGGAGGAGGAGGAGGAGGAGGAGGAGGAGGAGGAGGAGGGGGAGGAGGTCAAGGAGGAGGAGGAGGAAGATAAGGAGGAGGAGGAGGAGCAGGAGGAGGAGGAGGATTAGGAGGAGGAGGAGGAGGAGGAGGAGGAGGAGGAGGAGGAGAAACAAAAGGAGTAAGAGGAGAAGAAGGAATGATTCGGACGACGACCGCGGACGAGGAGGACGATGAGGACGCGCAGCGACGAGGCAAAATGGAGCGAGGTGGAGTTGGAGGGAGCGCCAGAAGGATAACGTGGAGGATGGGGAGTCTGGACGGGATGAAGTCGATCAGCGATTGAAGAAAATTGCTCTTCGGCTTTGTCCCCCTCGTCCTCGTGATCGTTCGGCTCGCCCGCCGTCCATGATATCCCGCTTCACTTCCTCTTCCTCCTCCTCCTCCTCCTCCTCCTCCTCCTCCTCCTACTGACTGGCATGGGTATTGTCTTCCCTGTTCGTGTCTACGTCCCGTAGCTAAACAAGTAAGAATGCACATCTAAACGTATCTAGGTTTGAAACAAATCTATTCGTATATCATATTCCCCAGGAAAACGCTGCGAACACATGTTATTATGAGAAGAATGTTAGATACCATGTGGTCCTTCCGAATGGAGCTGCCGCTGGGGAAATGAGCAACCAACATCGATTTGTAGATGTGCCTTCCAGGGTGGTAAAGCAGGGACGGCTGGAAGCATGCAGTTGCGTGGCCGCCTTCAGGAAACAAGCATAGCTTGGTGAAGGACCCAACCATATGCAGTTGTGAATACCGCAAATATGAATATCGGTTTCGGTGGCGCTACCTTTGGGTAGGGGAGACGCATGCGAACACCCCCACTGGGGCCTTCGGTGGAGCTTCCTATGGTGCTACGGAACGCTGCCATGGGTGGGGGAACCGCATGCGGGCTGCCCTGGGTGGGGGCATGCGGGCACCCCCACTGGCGCCTGGGGTGGAGTTCCCTATGGGGCTACGAAGCGCTGCCCTGGGTGGGAGAACTGCATGCGGGCACCCCCACTGGGGTTTCGGTGGAGCTCCCTATGGGGCTACGAAACGCTGCCCTGGGTGGGGGAACCGCATGCGGGCACCCCCACCGGGGCCTTCGGTGGAGCTCCCTATGGGGCCACGAAGCGCTGCCCTGGGTGGGGGAACCGCATGCGGGCACCCCCACTGGGGCCTTCGATGGAGCTCCCTATGGGGCTACGAAACGCTGCCCTGGGTAGGGGAACCGCATGCGGGCACCCCCACTGGGGCCTCCGGTGGGGCTCCCTATGGGGCCACGAAACGCTGCCCTGGGTTGGGGCCACGAAGCGCTGCCCTGGGTGGGGGAACCGCATGCGGGCACCACTATTGAAGCCTTCGGTGGAGCTCCCTCTGGGGCTACGAAACGCTGCCCTGGGTGGGGGAACCGCATGCGGGCACCCCCACTGGGGCCTTCGGTGGGGCTCCCTATGGGGCTACGAAGCGCTGCCCTGGGTGGGGGAACCGCATGCGGGCACCCCCACTGAGCCCTTCGGTGGAGCTCCCTATGGGGCTACGAAACGCTGCCCTGGGTGGGGGAACCGCATGCGGGCACCCCCACTGGGGCCTTCGGTGGGGCCCCTTTTATGGGGCTACGAAACGTTGCC